TGTTTTCAACATGCAAATACCCAACAGAGGCGCCTCTCTTTCTCCCCCTCTAGAAGATGGGGGGGTGAGGGTCAGAAAGGGCCCCCACTCCCCAGTCCGCCTAAGGCCTCTTGTTAGGGAGTTCCTGGGGGCCCCCACACCCTGGAGGTGAGGGTCCCCCCCGCCCCTAGCCAGGGTCTTTAGCGCGGGGGGGCATTTAAATTTCTGGGGGGGGTCACTGGCTAATTGAATTAAAGGAATATACCCGGCTCCTTCCCCGCACCTGCTGCCGCTTGGGGGCTAGATGGGAAGTGGGGGGGGCCTTGCCAATAAGTCAGGGGGGCGCGCCCCGAGCACTGTTCCCTCTAAGCTGAGTTAGTGTGAGCTAGCTCACAGTTTTTTAGCCTCTGGCTCACACATTTTTGTCTGAGCTCAGGAAGGACGGCTCCAGAGCAAACTAATTCATGCAGTAGCCAAATCACTTGCTCACAATTTTAATGCCAGTAGCTCACAAAGTAGAAGTTTTGCTCACAAGACTCCACAGCTTAAAGGGAACATTGGCCCCGAGATGCCCTCCCTGTCGCTACGGACCTCCCCACACACTTTTCCTGCTCAGGGGTGTCCTGGAGGCCGAAGTGGCTTTCGCTGTGCGTGTGTGTGTGGGGGATGCGCAGCCTCTTGGATCGGGGCCGGCTTCCCTCTCTGTTCCCCCAAACGCTGGGCTCGGCTTGGGAGGTGGGGGGGAAGGGAAACCCGAGTGCGTCTGCCGCTTTCTGTTGGCTGCCGGGTGGGGGTGGGGGGCTGCTGGCCAAGAGGAAGCATTTTGCGGGTCGGGTAGGGGAGGTTCTGCCTCTGGGCCTCTGGGCCTCTGGGCTCTGGTGGGACGGCTCGGGAGGCAGGGGAGGCCCAGGGAGTTGGGGAGGGCAGGGGGCCTCGGTGGGGGGGTACAAGGTCAGGCAGAGACCCCCCCAGCATCCATTTTTTCCAGGGGGGGCGGTCTCTGCAGCCTGGGGAGGAGCTGACATCCCCCCCCCTTTCCAGGTTTCTGTACTTTGGAAGCAATTCCACACTTGTTGGCCGAGCCACGAGGGGGGTGGCATTTATTGATATTGGGGGGGGGGGACCGGAGTCCTGACACAAACAGGCACCCCCGAAGTAACTGCCCTCCTCTCCGCCTGGTCTGAGTGCTTTCGGTTCAACCAAAAAACCACCTTCCCAAACGGGGCCAGCTGTGGGTGCTTCTCCTCGGAGACCGATGACGCTGCCGCAGAGGGAATTCCCATTGGTCCTGCTCCGTGCCTGGCCCCGCCCACTCCCCCAGGACTTCAGCGGCCAAGGCTCTCCTGTCCCTCCCGCCTGCAGGGATCTCAGACAAAGTTTCCACCGTAGGCTGTCGGGGGGGGGGGAGCCCATGGGGCCCGGCCTGATCCTCCTGGAGACGCTGCTGCTGGGACCACCCCTGGTCGTCTATGGAACAGAGAGGAGACTCCGGACCCCTCCCGGTAAGCAAAAAGGGCTATTTTCTTGGGGGGGGGGAGGAATGGGGGGGGGGCTGCGAGAGGCTGTTGGTTCTGATGGGGCTTTCCCTGGCCCATGGCGCAGGAGGGAAAATTAAGCCCCCTCCCACCCCCCTAAGTAGAATGGGAGGGGGGCTTGAATAGACTGGCCCCTCCCCCTCGCAATGGGAGGGAGGACCCTCATTCTGACCTTGGGCGAGGGGGTTGCAGATTCCTCCTCCCTGTGGCCCCCCTCAGGTACTTGATTTCTTTACTTCATTTATACCTCCCCACCTCCTTTCTTCTGAGCTGGAGATGCCGGGGATTGAACCTGGGACCTTCTGTGTGGCAAGCAGGGGAAGAAGAGTAGGTTTTTATGCCCTACTTTACTCTACCCCGAGGAGTTTCAAAGCAGCTGACAATCACCTTTCCTTCCCCTCCCCACAACAATCCCCTTCCTAGAATCATAGAATGTTGGAGTTGGAAGGGGCCTTGCAGGTCATCTAGTCCAACCCCCTGCACTCTGCAGGAGCATAGCCGAAAGACAGCCCTACAACATACCTAAAAGATGGTCGTCCAGCGAAGGAGCATCCACCACCTCCAGAGGCAGACTGTTCCACTGCTCAACCACTCTTACAGTTAGGAAGTTTCTTTTGATATTTAGCCGGTAACAACTCCCTTGTAATTCCCACCCATTAGATCTAGTCTTGCAATCCAGAGCAAGAGAGAATAGCTCCACTCCATCTTCTACATGACAGCCCTTCAAATACTTGAAGACTGCAATCATGTACCCTCTAAGCCTTCTCTTTCCCAGGCTAAACATACCCAACTCTTTCAGCCTTTCCTCATAAGACTTGGATTCCAACCCTCTAACCATCCTGGTTGCCCTCTTCTGGATATGCTGGAACTTGTCAACATCCTTCCTAAAATGTGGTGCCCAAAACTGGACACAGGACTCCAGGTGAGGCCTGACCATAGCAGAATAGAGTGGAACTACCACCTTCCCTTGATCTGGACACAATGCTTCTGTTAAGGCATCCTAAGATTGCATTAGCTTTCTTTGCAGTCACATCACACTGCAGGCTCATGTTTAGCTAGATCCCTTTCACATGTGCTTCTGTTAAGGCATCCTAAGATTGCATTAGCTTTCTTTGCAGTCACATCACACTGCAGGCTCATGTTTAGCTAGATCCCTTTTACATGTGCTGCTGTCAAGCCAAGTCCCTCCCATTCTGTATCTGTGCCTTTGATTGTACCCAAGTTCTCCTCGGCCTCCCCTGCCCCTCCCAGGTGGGGACTGCCCCTCTTCATGGGTCCTGAAGAGCCCCCCCCGGCACTCCCTCCCCGGGCAGCCAAGCCAGGGCTGAGCATGAGGATGTTATGAGACACCCCCCCCCATGACTACCTTCTGAAGGGAGCCGTGTTCAAACCCCGTCTCTGCCCCGGAGGCTCTCTGGGCAATCTTGGGCAAGTTACTCTCTCCAGGCCTGACCTACCTCTCAGGGGTGTCGTCGGGATAAAACAGAAGAGGGAGAAGGACAAAAGCTGCCTTGGGGCATTGCTGGGGAGGAAAGTGGGGAACGGGGGTTGTTTGTTCCCCCCCCCAGGCAAAAAGAAGACAGATCTCCCCCCCCACCCCAGGCCTGTTGGACAGGATAGTTTTAAATCATGATGAGCAGAGCAGAGGGACCTTCGAGCTGCTCCCCCCTTGTCCCAAGCAGGGGGGCCGGGTGGGGTTCGCCTCTGCAGAGAAGCCAACGTTGGATCAGGCCAGTGGCCCATCTAGTCCGACACTCTGTGTCACACAGTGGCCAAAAATACCAGGGGCCATCAGGAGGTCCAGCAGTGGTTTTTCTCTTCGTCATACCACACATAGGCATGCCAGCCCATGTGTAGGTCATGACCTTCTAATTTTAAGGTTCTACTGTCTTCTAGCAGGATCCAATCCCGAATCCAGGTCATTGCTGCCGCTCTATAGTATAGTTTCCACTCTGGTAGACCCAGGCCTCCTTTTTTATCATGTAGTAATTTTAATCTTATACGCGCTCTCTTTGCTTGCCATATAAAGTTTCTTGTTATTTTCTCCAATTCTTCACATATTTTGTAATTTTTTAATATAGGGATTGTTTGCGCAAGAAACAAAAATCTAGGTAGGACATTCATTTTTATAGTGGCAGATCTCCCCATCAACGAGATGTGAAGATCCTGCCATTTTTTCAGGTCTTTCTTGATTTCTTCTATTAAGGGTTTGTAATTGTTCACATATAGTTGTGCATTATCCTTTGTCAAATTTATGCCTAAATATTTGACTTTATCTGTTATTTCCATCTTGGTGCTGTTTTGCAGTTTGTCTCTCTCTTCTTTAGAACAATTTTTTATTAAGATTTTGGTTTTCTTCAAGTTTATTTTTAATCCTGCCAGATTTCCATATTCTTGGATTTGGTACATTAGGTGGGTTATAGATGTGATGGGATCTTCCAGAATGAATACCAAATCGTCAGCGAAAGCCTGTAATTTATATTGTTCACCTTTTATTTTAGTTCCTCTAATATTTGGATTCTGTCTCACCATGTCGTTTAGAGATTCCAAGCAAAAGATGAAAAGTAGAGGTGAGAGCGGGCAACCCTGTCTGGTGCCCTTCTGAATTGGGATCTTTTGTGATAATTCTCCGTTTACAACTATTTTCGCCCATTGCTCTTTGTATATGGCCAAGAACATGTTTTCAAACTTCTCTCCGCATTCCCAAGTTTTTAATTTATACTTCAGAAAGGACCAATTAACGTTATCAAAGGCTTTTTCTGCATCCGGACGCCAGAGAAATTACAAAAATGTTATAAGACAGTTTCAGGGAACTGCTGGAGATGCGAAAGAAATGTGGGCTCCTTCTACCACATTTGGTGGAGATGCGAGAAAATTGTAAAATTCTGGAAAACCATAAAACAACTTATTTTAGAAATATTAAATATAGACTTGAATCTAGATCCAGAAGCATACTTATTAAATATCCTACCTGAAAATATAAAATATAATGACGCACGTATGATATTATACATCCTCACAAGCGCCAGAATCGCGATAGCAAAACGTTGGAAATCAGAAAAAATCCCAAACAGAGAAGAATTAATCACAAACATCTTAGATATAAAAGAAATGGACAAAACAAATATGTTCTTAGCGGGAAAAATGGACAGTGTGTTTAAGGAAAGATGGCAAAAACTAGATAATTGGCTAGAAATGTATGGATAAAAAGCTCCAAAAATACTGTAAAAAAATGAAATATGAAATGCTATTTTTGTTATATACTGAAAATCAATTAAAATATACAAAAAAAAAAGTAATGCTATTGGCCACAAAAAAAAAAAAAAAAGGAGGTCCAGCAGTGGGGCCAGGAGGTCCACCATCCCATCACCCATCACATCCATGACCACACCAGAAACCACAAAAACAGATCCTGGGGTTTGTGGCACTGCAATTGGATCCTCATGAATCCTTCAGATGGTGAATTGGCATCCACCCAAATGCGGAACTTCATGGATCCTCATGATTTTCACATGGACTTCTATTGAAATCCATTCTGATATCACATTCATGTCCTTAGAGAATCCCAATTATAGGAGGGCTTTCACTCGGCTAAGATAGGATGTGCTGCGGACTGCAGTACTGGAAGGCAAGTATCAGAAGACACCTTTAGAGGAATGCCTCTGCCCATGTGGTGATGGGAGTGTAGAGATATCAAGCCATGTAATTTTTGACTGTAAAATCTATAAACAGATTTGGGAGGCATTGGTAGTACCAGTAATTTCTGGTTTCCCAGGGAAAGATCAGAAAAGTCTCCTCAAGAAAATGCTCGCTGATAGAAACAGAGATGTCACCTTCAAAATGACTAAGTTTGGTCGGCTGGCAATTAAGCTGAGGAAAATATGGATCAGTCATGCTAGTTGATATTTTGGAGATTGTTTTATAAGTAATTTAATTTATATCACTGAATATTTTAGCTTACGAGTGGTGTATTTATGTATTTTACAAATATTATATTCCTGTATAGGGAACAGAAATGTTTTAAGTTTGGGGTTTTACTTCTTGTACTGTGTACTGGTCAATGACTGCAATAACTTTACTTACTTACACATTAACGTCCATGGAAGAAGCCGAGAGCCCTGGTCCTTTTTGGGATCGCCCTGGCACCAAAACGGCCTTTGCAAACAGGTGTGGTCTTGGAGTCTTCGGATCCTGACCGGGACTCCGCAAAAACTGTCTGTAAATCCCACCACCACCACTTCCAGTAGCCAGGGACAGCCGCACCAAACACAGGGGACTCTCTGTTCCGCGGCCTCCAGGTGGCGCCACCTGTGGCCGCGGATGCGAGATGCCAGGGACTGGTGACCGCCGTCTGCGCTGTTGTGGAGGGTGCCCCGTGGGTTGGTGGTGCCACCAGTGGCCACCACGGATTGGAGAGGGGACCTGAGGGTGAAATGGGGGGGGGGGGTTGTCTCCCCGATGCAAAAACCGGGCGGATCTGCGCTGTGGCGAAACTGCGTTTTGGGGGAGTCCTGCTGAGTTGCCCCCCCCTTGCCCCGTCTCTGTCCCCCGCAGCCGCCCACTGCCTGTTCCAGGTGAAGTCCGAGTGCCGCTTCGCCGACGGGACTCGCGGGGAGGTCCGCTTCCTGGACAGGCACATCTACGACCGGCAGGAGTTCCTGCGCTTCGACAGCCGCCGCGGAGACTACGAGGCCCTCACCGAGCTGGGCCAGCCCACAGCCCGATACTTCAACAGCAAGAAGGGGTGGATGGACTACGAGCGGGGCCAGGTGGACGCCCTCTGCCGCCTCAACTACGGGGTCTTCGTCCGGGGGCGCGCCATCGGCAGGACAGGTGAGCGGGGCGGGGCGAATGGGAAGGGGCGGGGCTCCGGGCACCGGCGGGTGGGGACGCCCCTCCCCTCCTCCCTCTGGGGCTCCCGGCCGGGGGGGGGGGGGGGGGGAGGGGCTTCTAGGGTTTTCCGTTTCTAGAGCAAAATACGAGGCCCCAAAGAACAGGACGGTGTCACCTTCCGCCACGGCGTCCTTTGTTGTCCAATGCTACTTGCATTGAAGCCCGTGCGCGAGAAGGATCCGAGAAGCCCAAAGTCCTCCTTTTGCTATTCAAAATTGATTAAGTTTCCTTCCCCCCTAAATTGAGGCAAGCGGCAAAAACGACGGGAGGCGAAAGGCGCTTCCAATCTATTTGAAGCTAAATCTGATTAGTGGGTTTTGAGAAAGGGGAAGCAAATTGGTGTGCCAGTCCAAATCAATCAGCGCACGGGGCTCCCGCGCAACGCAGAGCTCTTTCGCCGCCTCTCCTCTTCTTTTATTAAAAGAACACATTACTGGTAGGTGAATGGTAAGCATCTCTGAGGTTTGTCTCGCGACACGGGGGCATTTCTCCATCCGTGCCACGGCGCACCTTGCCCACGTCTACTCCCCATCTAAGGCACCTACCTGGCCGTTCGCTAGTATTTTCTTCAATTCCGCAGAGGACTTCTTCAAACTGTTAAAATTGGAAAAGACAAAAAAAAAAGTATTTCAATGACAGCACAACTACAGACTGCAACTGCACCCAGCTGAAAGAATGTAACCCATGGTCCTGCAAAACAGGAAAGGGGAAGAAAGTTCACGCGGTACGGTGGGAATGAAGTTGGGATCTGAGCACAGGGTTGCCACCTTTGGGTCGGGAAATTCCTGGAGATCTGGGGGTGAGGAGGAGGAGACTCAGCGGGCTCTACTGCCACGGAGTCCACCCTCCAAGCCAGCCACTTTCTCTGCGGGAATTCATCTCTGCTGTCTGGAGATCGGTGGTAATTCCGAAAGATTTCCAGACCATAAACTGGAGTTTGAAGAAACCAAAAAAAAAGAAAGAAAGAAAGAAAGGAGGGGAACCAGCATACAAGAAATGGTACATAACACAAGAGACCGCTGGCTGAAATTACTTAAAGTGATTTTTATTTTTATTTATATATATAAATAAAAACAAAATATTTAATGCCAAGTTCACTAACAGTATAGCAAAATGAAGCCTAGGTATCCTTGCAAGAAACAACAGTGATACGGAAAGGTAAAGTCACAGTAGTACAAAAAAGTAAGTCCCAAAAATATCAATGTGTCTCACTCCTGTTGTATTATAATTCCATAGTCCATATATTCATCATAGAGTGGACTCATATAATTCCAGAAGGATCCATATAATCTTGCAATCCATAAGCGACACGTAGTCCGGATGCAAGCTGCCGCGTTTCGAATAATTCTTTTTCAAAGCCAATAGGGACCCAATCTCAGTAGTAGCACATACAGAAACCAGTTTAATCAATCACTACTGTGACTTTACCTTTCCGTATCACTGTTGTTTCTTGCAAGGATACCTAGGCTTCATTTTGCTATACTGTTAGTGAACTTGGCATTAAATATTTTGTTTTTATTTATATATATAAATAAAAATAAAAATCACTTTAAGTAATTTCAGCCAGCGGTCTCTTGTGTTATGTACCATTTCTTGTATGCTGGTTCCCCTCCTTTCTTTCTTTCTTTCTTTTTTTTTGGTTTCTTCAAACTCCAGTTTATGGTCTGGAAATCTTTCGGAATTACCACCGATCTCCAGACAGCAGAGATGAATTCCCGCAGAGAAAGTGGCTGGCTTGGAGGGTGGACTCCGTGGCAGTAGAGCCCGCTGAGTCTCCTCCTCCTCACCCCCAGATCTCCAGGAATTTCCCGACCCAAAGGTGGCAACCCTGTGCTCAGATCCCAACTTCATTCCCACCGTACCGCGTGAACTTTCTTCCCCTTTCCTGTTTTGCAGGACCATGGGTTACATTCTTTCAGCTGGGTGCAGTTGCAGTCTGTAGTTGTGCTGTCATTGAAATACTTTTTTTTTTGTCTTTTCCAATTTTAACAGTTTGAAGAAGTCCTCTGCGGAATTGAAGAAAATACTAGCGAACGGCCAGGTAGGTGCCTTAGATGGGGAGTAGACGTGGGCAAGGTGCGCCGTGGCACGGATGGAGAAATGCCCCCGTGTCGCGAGACAAACCTCAGAGATGCTTACCATTCACCTACCAGTAATGTGTTCTTTTAATAAAAGAAGAGGAGAGGCGGCGAAAGAGCTCTGCGTTGCGCGGGAGCCCCGTGCGCTGATTGATTTGGACTGGCACACCAATTTGCTTCCCCTTTCTCAAAACCCACTAATCAGATTTAGCTTCAAATAGATTGGAAGCGCCTTTCGCCTCCCGTCGTTTTTGCCGCTTGCCTCAATTTAGGGGGGAAGGAAACTTAATCAATTTTGAATAGCAAAAGGAGGACTTTGGGCTTCTCGGATCCTTCTCGCGCACGGGCTTCAATGCAAGTAGCATTGGACAACAAAGGACGCCGTGGCGGAAGGTGACACCGTCCTGTTCTTTGGGGCCTCGTATTTTGCTCTAGAAACGGAAAACCCTAGAAGCCCCTCCCCTCCCCCCCTCCCCCGGCATCGGCAATTGAGCGCAGTAGCCTCACGATTGATGGGCAAAAAGGAATACTCTGGGGCCAGTCCTTCCTGGCCAGCTTGGATTCCGACAGACGGGAAGGCCCAAAGTGGTATAACGACTTTAAATGCGCGCCGCTAAACGCCGCTACCTGTAAGGCAGCAGGGATCCGTCAATAGCAACATAAATAAGTTTTAATGTTTGTCATGGTGAAAGCCCTTTGATAGCCTTGGAGGCAGGCACCTGTCCGCGGCGATCAAGCCTGCCTATTAGACACTATTGACTGAGACATCTGTGTCACTGCAAATAAAAGACTCTTATTGATTTTCTTAACTGCTGTTCACTTCCCTTCCATGTTGCGAAGGCTGAAATCTTAATTATCTCAGATGCGTATTCAGCGCCTTCACACAGTGACCTCTCCCCGTCTCATTGGCATTTCATGAATCAAGTAGTTGTAGTTGAGGGTGTCAGGAAGATAAAAGCGGGTCTCTGCGCTTGTCCTTCATCCAATCACCTGTAACACTCGGCTCTTAATAGAGGCGGTCGGTCGGGTCCAGCGTCACCCGCACCGCAGCCTTGATCGTCTGCGAACAGAATCCTTTAAATAAAACTTAGGAATATGGATTTCAATTTATTTATTTTAAAAATAGGAAAAACATCGACTCCCGACTCTTGCCTGAATGGCTGCGGTGGGATTTCTTCTGATCTTTATAAAAAAATAAAATACATGTATAGAATTGTTAGCCATCCCCGGTGTTTTAATTAAATTTTTACAAATGCATTTTGGAAGGGGGGTGGTAATACTGGGGATTTTCTGGGAGGGGAAGAGGGGGAAAGGTGTGGTTATTTAATTTCCCTCACTTTATTTATTTTGGGAATCTCATTATCTGACGACAGATTATTTTATTTTTGAGAGCCAGTTTGGCGTCGTGGTTAAGTGTGCGGACTCCGATCTGGGAGAACCGGGTTTGATTCCCCACTCCTCCACTCGCAGCTGCTGGATGACCTCGGGCAAGCCATAGTTCTGACAAGAGCTGTTCTCTCAAGGGCAGTCCTCGAAAGAGCTCTCTCAGCCCCACCTACCTCACAGGGTGTCTGTTGTGGGGAGGGGAAGGGAAAGGAGTTTGTAAGCCACTCTGAGACTCTGAATGAAGGGCGGGGTATAAATCAAGTCTCCTCCTCCTCCTCCTCCTCCTCCTGAGAGCCAGTTTGGTGTAGTGGTTAAGTGCGCGGACTCTAATCTGGGAGAACCGAGTTTGATTCCCCACTCCTCCACTTGCACCTGCTGGGTGACCTTGGGCAAGCTGTAGTTCTGGCACAGCTGTCCTTGAAAGAGCAGTTTCTCTCAGAGCTCTCTCAGCCCCACCTGCCTCACAGGGTGTCTGTTGTGTGAGGAGGGGAAGGGAAAGGAGTTTGTGGGCCGCTCTGAGACACCTTTGGGTCGTGAAGGGCGGGGTATAAATCCAATCTCCTCTTCTTCTTTAAATATACTTACTGAAATTAAGGGAAAAGTTAATGACTAGTAAGAAAAGGGAATGTGTGAAGAATATCCTTATCTTTTTTGATTTTGGGAAGCCTTCCCCCCCCCCAATCAAGTCGCAGCAGACTCATGGCGACCGCATGTGGTTTTCAAGGCAAGAGCCATTCAGAGGTGGTTTTTGCCGTGGCCTCCCTTTGTGTAGCAGCCCCAGACTTCCTGGGTGGTCCCCCGTCCAAGTACTAGCCGAGGGCCGACCCCCACTTAGCTCCCAAAACCTGGCGAGATCAAGCTACCCTGGGCTTGGAACTGCCTGGCATAGACAACTCTTGTGAAAGCAGGGGCAGTGACGTTTGTGTGTGTGTGTGTGCAAGAGAAGATTTAGAGTGTGAAGACTAGCGTCAAAAAAATCCCTCTGAGCGCATTCGGGCTCCTTTATCCATTTGTTGAGCATTTGGCTGAACACCAGTCAAAGGACGGCCTGTGGAGCGCCCTGTGTGCACAAACATCTCCAACTCACTTCGGTGGAAACATGAAATCCTGTCTTTTGTTGTTGTTGTTCAGTCGCACAGTCGAGTTCGACTCTTCGTGACCCCATGGACCAGTTCCTGCCAGGCCCTCCGGTCTTCCGCCGTCCTCTGAAGTTTGCTCAACT